GCGGGGTCACTGACCTCAGCTGCGCGGCCTTGGCGGGGCACTGACCTCGGCCGCGCGGCCTTGGTGGGGGGAGGAGGGTCACTGACCGCGGGCGCGCGGCCTTGGTGGGGGGGGTCGCTGACCTCGGCCGCGCCACTTAGTGAACTTGGCACGAGGCGCTACCGTACCTCTTGATCTCAGCTTTATTGGCTAAGTGCAGTAGAATTACTCAACGTAATCTTACTTACCGACAAACCTGTTCGACTTGGTTACGTAGTTGCCAATGTGCATCATCGTGGACATAGCGCTGGCAAACAGGACAGAAAAGCGATAACATCTAAACTGGAAACCCATAACCTTTAATTTTTAGTTGCGTGCAAAAACACGTGTGAAAGAATGGCTAAGTCGATTCGTAGTAAATGGAAGAGAAAATGCAGGGCGATCAAGAGAGAGCGATATGCAGAAAAGGAATTAACAAGACTGAAGAAAACTCTCGGTATCGAAAATGACAACGCGCCCAAGGATGTAGACATGACTGACATAAGCGAAATTGCCACAGGTGAAATTTTTATTTACGTTACTGTTGTATAATAATAACATAATGTTTCATATTAGTTTATTTTTGAATATTAACAGTTGTGGACGCAAAGAAAGTAAAAGAAGACATTACGGCGAAGCAGTCTGAGACCGCAAATACAGGTGAAGAGAAGATGGAAGTGGAAGGTGGTAGAGTGTACAATAAGAAAACAATGCGAGATCAGTATGGGAATTATCCTGTATGGATGAACAAACGAAAGATAGCCAAGCACAAGAAAGGCAGAGCTAAATCACAAAAGGCGAAGAAGAAAATACCTAAGAGACTAACTAGACGACAGAAGAAAGCACTGAAGCAGAATCAAAGCGAGGTTAACAAATGATGATCTTGTTTTTCTAAGTATTATAAAAAATATGGCTTTTTTGTAAATAAAATCTAAGATCTAGATAATTGTGCCTTTTTTAAACTGCTGATGACAATGTCAGTTTTCAATAAATGATGCCACTAAGATATGTAATATTCATTTCAATATATGTCACACTCATTACCTCTATTTTTCTTTTGAGAGGAACTCGGATAAATGTACAAGCATGTACGGGATTCGCTTTGTTTTATTGTAAAGCCATAAGAGTACAAATAGTATATTTATTTCTTTTATATATAAAACCTATATTACGACTCTACATAATGGCAGTGGTTTTATCTCACAGCAGAAATAATTCTGTGTGAATCTTATGACTACAATAACATCAGCACCTCGTGGTGTTGTAGTCACGTAACTTTGATATGTAACTAAAATATATGGTAAAAGTTCTGCTTGAATATGGAAGATACTGATGCTTACTAGTAATTTTGTAATAGTTTCTACATCAACGCTAATAATTCAACGATCCGCTATTTATCGGCACTGCTGATCTGCAGCGTATTCTCAGACGACTTTCCAAATCCGCAACGCGGTTCATCAGATGTTGCATCTTCCTCATTTCAGACTCATATTGCTTTATCTTGCTTCTCATATCGCGCACTTCTTGTTGCATCTGTTGCTACAACAGAAATAGGCAATTGTGCAAGATTTTAGTCATTATGAATATTAATCAAAATAGAAAAGTTCTTTCTCTCAATAAAATAAATTCAAGTCAATAAAAATAAACAACTACGGACCAAGTGCAAATTGTGTAAAATGAACATTGCAAACAAACATGATATAATTTACACTTTAATCTTGAGAAAAAAAAATTTAATCTTATTCTGCTATTTTTGTTAATAAATAATCTTTTACAGTATATATTATTGAAGATGACTTAAAAACAAAGTTGAAACGTATTGATATTGATACATTAGAATTTAATATATTTGCATTACATCCTGCATTTTTTATTCAAATTTGTCGAATTATACTCTCAAGTTGAGATTGTTTTAAATTTTATCGTACACAAGATTTTAAGTATGTAATATTTTATAAAATTATGTATGTATAGATACCACGTTCTCGACAGTTCTCTTCATTTCGTTAACGCTCTCGACCGCTAATGTGACTTTGGTGTTCATCTCGGCAGCCTCTGTATCTCTCTTTCTATTTCTGGCCACTTGCTGAAAACAAATATAATTACTCATTAACTTTATTATTACGGGATAAATATTAAATTATGTAAATAACTTTTACCTTTTCCAGCTTAGTCAGTCTTTTTAAAATAATTTCGTAGTCTTGATCGTTCACCTCGTTTTCTGTGTCTGTAATTTACAAACGTATTGTTCGAAGTTTAATTCATTCACTTGAAATGTTCTTTATTCGTGATTTTTAAACTCGAAGAGTTTACAAGTTTTAATTACTTCTTGAAAATTAATTTACAGAATCTATACTTAAAATCAAATAGTAATGTTCGTGTGTGCGTGAAAAAGTGTATTATTATTAATCATACCGTGAGAAGCCGTCGTCGGGTCTTGTGTTGTCGACGCGTCGTGAAAATCGCCTTCTAAATCGCGAGCCTCAAAAGCATTTTCGTCGGTGTCTGTAAAATCGTAATTAAACAATTTATTCTTATAAAATTAATAATCTATTCTTTTCGCATATATTAGCTTTGACTTTTCTTACTGTTCCTTCTGCAGGACTGACCATCCTGCTGAAGCTGAAAGCCGGCTCTACAATGACATCGATAGCTGCCAGGTAGGTTCGTGCAAAGTTGTCCGCAGGGTTTTTCTACCTCGCACTCGTCCACATCTGTGAGATGAAATGTCATATAATACATATATATATATATATATAATTTACAGGATATTAACTTCTCGAGTGAGAAAAATTTATGTAAATATATTTTTCTAGTTTTACACATTTTATTCTACTTAAGGATGGTAGCACTATTTAACTTCTTTTTAACTGCTTAGTATTTTGTAATAAACATTGCAGTTATTTTAAAAATATTTATTCGATGAAATCGAATGTCTTTTGCGTTATATCGCAATTTTCTCTTCTTTTAAATTGCAATTCCGGCAAACGAGCGGAAGTAATAAAACTTAATTAAACAGAATTTAAAGAACGACGGCTGTTGGTTCGTTCTTTTTTCCGAGCACATCGACGTACAAACGTCGCCTCGTTAAAGCGCGAAGAACATTCGATTGATTCCTCCAGTTACGAGTGCCTTCTCGTGCCTATCGTCGGGCGTAATTAAATCGACGCAGAGCGATATGCTTCTCTCGATAGCATTGCTCGAACGCCAAGCTAAACTGCGGCGCAATCCGTATATTGCGGTTGTCCTGCACGTCCCGGCATCGGTGGGCCGCGAGCGCTCCCGAGATAGATTTACGAGCTATTCCGTCGCTATAAAACGGATGCGTTCTAATCGTCGCTCTTCGCGTACAACACTCTATAAGAATTGTTATTATGATCACAATCGCACGCACTTGAAATGCGAACGATCGATCTTTCTCGTTGTCTATTTGTCAGAGAGTAATATAGTTTTGCAATTTCTCGTTGAAAAAAAAAACACACGATCGCATTTCATTCGCAATCTAAAAAGTCTAATTGTTAAGCAAAATTAAAATTAAAAACAATTAAAATTAAAATTGAAATTACCCGTTTGACATTGGTTGCCGGTGTATCCTTTGGGACACGTGCACTTGCCAGGCGAAGTGCACATTCCGCCATTCAAGCACGGCGCTGTACACGTGGCTGGAGAAAAAACAAATTAAGATTAATCGATCTTCAGAATTATGAATAATATGCTCGGCAGTTGAAACGTCGATATGAAAGAAAACAAAAATGTAAATGAAATTTTCAATGCGTGCATCGAAACACTCGTGTCGCAGTATATCTTGTGTTATTTATTACGAAATTGCAAAATAATTTTTAATAATCGCGATAAATCCGCGCTTACGTTTATTGCATCCGAAACTCGAAGGAGTAACTTGCGACCATCCCGGGCAACAATAGAAACTGGAGGTCAACTCGGTGTACACTAAACTGAAACATTTTGTACATAAACTTTCAGAAAATTTATGAAGTGTACGAATATTATATATGTATTCTGCAAAGATGAAACTTTTATTCAAAACAAAATTAAGTTGATTTTATTTCTTCCGACGAACATTCCGACGTATTTGCGACGTACCTGATTTGTTTTCCTCGATGATGATGCTGATGATGACGGGAAGTTGCGGGAACTTGTCTGGTGCATACGCGTCTTCTGAAACGCGAAACGATAATTTTCAATTCTATTGTTCATTTTTACTCTATTGTTATTGCAAAATTTTTTATTAAATAAAAAAAAGTCGCAGCGTGTGTGCGATATTAGCATACGTTGTATATTCTAGACGCGATGTTCGGATATACAAATCGAATGTATTAAAAGGTATCCTCGCTAAGATACCATCGATATAAGAACCCTTCATGAATCCATCTTGAATAATTCTCTTCCTCCTTCTCCTCCTCCTTCTTTCTTCGAAGCCCGCATCTCGATTTCAGCTTTGCATTTCGTTATCGCGGCTTATGCGCGGTTGAGAAATTAAATCGGCGTCTCGATTATTTCGATAGTCATCGCAACATTAGTGTCCCGCCGCAATATCCCTTCATTCCGATCGAACTGATCGCCGAAGCGCAGTCATCTGAATCGTAAAGCACACACAGGAGACCGGTTAAATCACAAAATGCGAAGGCCGATCGAACACGCGCGCGCGGTGTTCGAGTATTTGCGTTGGCGATATTACAGCTTGTCGTCGTTCGAGAGACGGCGTAAAGACACGACGCCAGAAGTCGATATGAAACTTTGCGTTTCTTCTCGCGGTGCTTCGAGAAATGAGTAATAACGTTCTAACTGTGAGCGTATAATTAAACCTTGAAAATGTCGCGAGAGATCGTATATTTAACAGAAGTATCATCCCGATGGGACTCGACGATGCATGCGGACGGTAGAACGGCTTTCGACGGTTCGTGAAGGAAATGTACGGCGACCACGTGTATTATAATTGGGCATCGGGACGAATACTCGGCCGACAGAATCACTTCGTCATCGTCTGCTCGTCGTGGAAAATTGCATTTTGCCATGTCGACGTCGTGTTTGCTGAAACGCAACACGACATTCGCTGTCGCAACAACGGATGCCGAGGACGCGGTGGTCCCTCTACGTTCGTTTTCTTGCTCCGAGAGGTAAGAGGCGCGAGGAACGGCAAGCTCGCTGTGTGAGTGACTGCACAAAGGATTTATATGCGCGCAAATTCGCCGTCATTAAATATTAACTTGGCATTCTGAATAGTTCCCGACCCGTTTTCTCGACCGGTGTTCGTCGAACGCTAAACGCGCTCCGTTGATTTTCATGCCTTTGTTCGCACCGTTTGTTTATGCGACGTGTGTTGTTGTATTTCAGCAACTTGAAAGTTTTACGCGCGTCCTTAAATTGTTGAATGCAATCTAAAAAAAAAATATGTCAATGATTGAAAACTGTAAAAATACCGTAACGTAAAGTGATTTCTTAGAGGTCGTAGTTGTTGTAGTGAAATATAATATCGAACACGTTTTATCGGTCGAAAAAATTTAACGTAAGATTAACTTAGTTAAGAACAAAACTCGATTTATCGGAGTTCTTGAGAAAACGCGCTTGGAGAGTTCCGGGATGCTAGAGATGGAAACCTCGGGCTCTTCAAACATTCTCCGCTAATAGCAGGTGCTCCGAAGAAATTCAAGGCTGCGCACTATGTCGAGCATCCATGTGCGAGAGCGCGCCCGGTCTAAGGACGAAGCGTTGATTTATCCGTGATTATCCGAGAGAGGAAGGATCAGAAGGATTAGCGCAGCAGGTGATCGCGTATCGCGAATGTTGCGGCTATCTGAACGGATCGCGCGGTGCCGTCACTTTCACCGTTACGAGCAAATTCACATTTTGAACTAATGCGTGACACAGTTTCATGAGACGTTTATTAATTCACTACTCTGACTCAAAAGGATACAAATGGCTCGCTTATGGCACAGTAATATATATGTATACTGTCGACTTTCTGTCGGTTGTTCACAGTTTGTTTCAAGAACATATTAACTCGTTTCAAGAACTTGATATTTTATTTAAAAAAAAACAGTAAATTGTTGTAACAGCTTTTGAGAAAGAGGTTTTGTTACGAAACTATCGACTTCAACAATTTAGAATAGAATGAAACACTTCGCGCAATCGCGGTGAAACAAATTTATTCTTAAATCAATTTATCGAAGTAAATGACGCAAACTACATTTCGAGAAACTATACAAATGCACAGAGAGAAACTATTTTTGATGCGCGACGTCGCGCGGCGGAATTCACGGCGCACCCTGAGGAAGCTTGAGAAATCATCACCCATCATTTGTTGTTAGTATCATATAATCTGCCACGTCCACGCCTATGATAACTAGGGTATTTCAACCTGATTCACAATGATTTCCTGGAGCTTTCTCCGGCGGGCAAGCGCGCGTAAATCGCCCGCACACCGTGTTCCTTGCTTCGCAAAAAAGTCTCGTGAAACCGAGACCGGAGGTTCAGATACGGTTCGGAGGACATTCGCGTGGGAATACTGGTTCGGCTGTTGCTCCGAGTTTGCCGATAAAATTTTCTGTCTTTCTCTTTCTCTTTCTCGCTCGCTTGCTTGCTCGCGACATTGAACGAACATGTGAGAAATGGAAAAACGTACTTGTCGCGAAGGGCGTAGGTGTATCTCGGTGCGATAAGCATCATTGAAAATTTACGACGCTCGCATGACGTGCGACAGCCCCGGGAAATCTTAGTTTTCCACCTGAAATTCTTCATCCTACTGACCGGGACAGTTATGGCGCCAGCCGGATACCCACTGGACCAGTTTCATGCGGTGCGGGTTAAGGGTCAGTACGCCAGAGTGATTGGCTACATCGGTCGAAGCCGATTGCAATGTCTCTATCGATTTAAAATTGTTGTTCTAACGAGCGAGATATAACGGTGCACAGTGTGCGCAAGGAAACGCCGAGTTCGTTAGATGAAAAATAAATAAAGAATAATTGAAGTAGTTCGTTAGGCGTGGAATAATTGAAGCTCTCTCGTGCTTCAAGGTGATTGCTAATAATTCCGTGTACTAATGATATAACAGAAATATAAAGGAAAAAATCGATAACAGATAGAGAGATGACATTTGTTTCTCAGAATAAAAAACGTAGACTTGTGTAAAATAAAATTATTATTAACGCGCACTATATCAAAAATTTGATTAATATTAATAAATTCTACGTGCGTACATTTATTTTGTAAATTATCTTAAATAATAATATTTATTAAAAATTATAACGTGCCAGAAATCTTTATAAGATATTATTGTGAAAAAAATAATCGCGTGAGATTTAATTTATTGAACTCACACGGGATTATTTTATGTTGTAAAAATAATGACAAGCGGAAAAGGGTGGAATGCGCGAGAGAAGACGTGTAATAAAATCAGCAACGTCGCGTATCCGATGCAGAACGACCGAAGACGCGCCGTCGCGTGATGGCGGTTTACACCAGGGTTCGAGTCGAAGGGTAATAAATCCCGGATGAATTACCGTATTGAACGCTCGCATGTCTATGGCTCTCTTAAGCGCTTCCGAAATCTAAGCGGCGATCTCGCAATGGTTCTCGTTCCCGGCACCGTCGCAAAGCAAATCCCTAACGCGACGACGACGTGTTATCGCGGTCGTTTGTTATGTTTTCTACGTTCGTCTGTTGCGCGCATAGATTTTCGCCGACGATGACAACGGTTCCCTGTAAACGTTCTTCCCCGAGAGCCTAACGAGCCGCATGCCTTCCCGATGACATTGTTGCGATTGCATTTTCCATGAATCAAGCGCCAACAGCTCTCGTAACTCCGTAGACTTTATGAATCTCGCACTTCCCAACAGGTTTATTCTCAAGACAGTGAGAAGATAAACTCGGATTCGATATTTGTAATGAAATTTGATGTAGTTTATGATTGTTGTTCAAATAGGCGAATATTTGAGATCGTTCTGAGTTCATCTTCGGATGTTCTATAGACCAATGAAGACAAGTCCATAAAACATAAAACTTAAAACGATTTTAAATATAAGATCGGACTGTGAATACCGGACTTACGTTCCGGTATACTTTGTCCAGGCTCTAAAAACGGAACGTTTCGTGTGTGGAGCGTATTTACAGATCTATAAATAATATTGTTCTATTGCGCTATCTCGTATATAGCAGATCTTTTGTTTGCGCGAGCAGCGCGGAGACGATAAATCAAATAATTACGAATGACTTGAGATTTCGCGACGTATCGGGACATCATCAATTCGATCCAGCCAATAAAGAGACAGACTATCGATTGTAATCGCCGTCGATATAACGACCATTTGTTTTAGGAACGGTCTGCGTGCAAAACACGTGGAATCTCGAGCTGGAGCTTTTGCGGGGCGGAACAAAGAAATCGGAGAGCTGAAGTGCCACTCGTGCGCTTGGCAATTCGTTTTTACGTTTTTCCGATGACAACCTCGACCATCGGTCGCTGTTTTACAAGTGGAACTGAATTGATCGAGCGCAGCTCCGAACACTCGTGACATCACAATTTTTTTAGAGTCGTCCCGAAACGCCATTCGCGTCAATTAATAAAATTCTTTTGCGTTCTTGTAGCTCGGAATAAAGTTGCTTTTCACTTACGTATCGAGTAAGAAAGTGTCACTATAGTGTGGAAGATAAATTTTATTTGTTTAAATAAATCTATTGTATTAAATATCATAAAATAAACGCAATATTATTATTGAGATTAATAATAATTTTTAATCGCAAAAGAGATATTGAGATTTTTGCAAAAAACTAATAACTTAGATTTACGATAGTACGATCCTAAGGAAATTTAATAAGCGCTCGGGTGTAAAGTGCTGTGAATAGACTAGTGAGAGATCATGCAAGCTACTCGAAAATTACGACGTATCTTCTTTCAGGATTCGAGGCTATAATACACCTACATATTGCGCGTTTCAATTACGAATCACGATAACACCTCTCTTGGCGGTAACTTCGCGCAGCTGCATCCATAGTTATCAAGTGTAAGGAAGTTATTTTTAGGGCGATCAAGATGAGTTCCGTGCACTCTCTTGAAATATTTCTTTCCGCCTTGGCCTTTCCTCGTAATATGTATAAAAACAGAAGCTTCTTGCATAAAACACTCTTTCCGTAAGTATTTTCTGAGTTCTTCACGCACGTATTGT